ATGTATCTATAACACAATCTTTAGCTACCTTAACTTGGTTCTAGATGGCGCTGTGTGAATTGTCCTGAGATTATTAAATTAATATTTAAAAAAAAATTGTTTCTGCTTTGCAATAATTTAGAATTCATTACATTTAGAGATAAAGAAGAGATTTCCTTATAATATAGACATTAGATTATTCAATTTATGTCCATAAAACATAATTCAACGTAACCCAAGCTGTCAAACAGTGCAGCGTGGCATTAATTAAATTGTTTATTGTCACCAGGAATTTAACTAGGTGACTGTGCTTAATCATTTAGTTCAACCTACGCATGACATGTTTTTAAATATTTAATGTGTAATATTAATACAGAATACTATCGGTGCCCGCGGTTTCACTCGCGTGAAATTTTTAGCCTATGTGGTGGGAAATTGCGGAAAAATATAGCAAATAAGGTTTCACCACCATGCGGTAGGGCGCGGTCGCTGGTTCAGAAAATATTTAATTGCTGACTGTAAAACATATATAATACTGTCGCACAGATCACAATGATATAAGCACAAAACACAAAAATATTGTCCAAATTCGAGATTAACTTTTAGCAGCGTGCACGGCGGTTGATTGTTCAAATCAGAGAGTTTTCGAAGTGAATAGATGCACAATTGCACTCGCAGTGACGCGACAGAGGCGCCACTTTACAGGTACATACTTACCCGCTAAATTACAAATATACAAACCTTGACTGCAAATACAACAGACCAGCGAAATAACAATATATATAATTGTTAACAATAAAAATGTTATAAATGGCGTAACCACTATGTATTATTCTGATGTATATATATTCTGATTCTGTACCATATATTATCGTAGTTTTATTAAAGTCCATTACGAAATGGTTGGTTTGTATGGATTGACGAATTCATACGAATTCATTTAAGGTTGACGAATATTATTTTTTTCTAGTGACATAGCTTATAATAATACTCAGGCTAATACTTATAATAATAATATAGCATTCTAATGGTAAAAAAATTATGAAATCGGTCTAGTATATTTAAATCATCGTTACAAACATATATAAATAGAGATTTTGCTTTTCATAATATCAGTGTAGATACCTTCACGACGACTTATCTCAGATGAGGTAATCAAAGGAATTGTCAACTGTTTATGTCGTGGATGTTTATTACGAAATTAATATCATGCGTATCATCCGATAAATAGCGGTAAACGCTGTATCTAATAATACATAATATCATCTATTTTCCTTATTATTTCTCACTAGAGTGACTTCGTATCTGTATACAATTCTTTAAATCACCATCCACTATCGTGTAAAATCCTTACAATATATGTACCTATATTTATTTTAGACTAGCTGACACCCGCAACTTCGTTTGCGACTGTCTTACTTACTTGACATTTATCATTATATTTCCCCCAATTTATATAATATATTTTTGAATTAGAGTCTATATGTTATTCTGTATAGTTTCGTCAAAATCCATTCAGTAGTTTTTGCGTGAAAGAGTAACAAACACCCATACTTACAAGCTCGCGTTTATAATATTAGTAAGATTATTTCAGAATATCCGTAGTGTTTAATTTGTAAAAAAAATTAATTAATTTGTAAAAGAAATTGTAATTTCTTAAATGTAGTGTTTTAGGAGATAACACAATAATAACAAATGGACAAAATAAAATAAATCGATTTTTTTACAAAATTAATTATTATTTCTTAGAGGGTTTTTCAATTTTCTCCATATTAAACAACACTCAGTAAAATTCGATCTGGTTTCTGGTTTCTACAGAAAAAATACAGACAGACAGTTTTCACCTTGTCACGATCCCCTATCCAATTCCAACGGGGATCGAATTTACGACGGCCTGAGCCGAGTTTCCCCTCTCCCTCCCCCCCTTACGGCGGTCTCAGACGTGTCTGTCAGGCAGGAGTTGGCCTTCAGCCGCAGTCGTCCTTCCGCAGACATGAAGTGCCATCTGCACTCACCTTCTAATGTGCGGTGAAGCTGTAAAGGCCAGCTGCGCCCACAGCATTAGAATAGTTCGAAAAAAAACCATTCCAGTTAAAAAAATAGATGACATAATATTAATATTATCAATGGTTTTTGGAATGACTTTGAATTAAGTTATATATTTAGTAATAATAATAACCCGCAATATTTTGTCTCGAGTAAATTTCTAATATAATTATATCGAACAATGTTTCGACAAAACACGAGCATTACGGAACAAAACCCTCGCGTTGTCCGCTGTACTGTAGATATTTAAATGAATTATGCGTTCAGAAATCAATGTGTAATGGAAATAGTAGCGGTCGAGATTTATTAAAATTTATGAATAGGTATTTATTAAACAGTCTGTAACTCGCCAACATTGTCAGTATCTAATTTATAAATGTATAGAAACACGTGGGGCCTATTAATGTTGTAAGTAGAAAAGGAAATAATGTCTATCAACCCAGATAATAATATTATTACCATAATGCTACATTTTAATAAAATATATTCTAAATATATTCCTACATATACCACAGCGCCATTATTGAATCTTTTTTAAATAGTTATCTCATTATTCTTCTGTCTCTTCTTTACATAGTATAAAACAGTCGTCGCCGCTATATGTTCGCTTATATCTTTTAAATTACGCATTTTTTTAATGTAGTTTTCAGCAATAGATATATTGATTCAAGGGGAATATGTATATGTATAATACATGCATGTTATAGTATAGAACAAGCTGAGAAATTCAAAGATTTGTAATGTATCCGGGACGAGTCGCTAGTGTAATGTAATTTTAAAATAACGATATCAAACACCATTTCACCACCATAACGAAACGTATTCAAATTTTGTGAAAATGTCATAAAATTGCAAAAATTATACATCATTTCTGCAATTTATATTTGAAGACGATTCGGCAATATCAAAATATTGTATTTTGGATTCAACTGAAATCAATGTTGCAATTATATGTAGTAGTAGATTTATAGATGTCATGTTTGACAGGTTTATCTAACCACAAATCGACATCTAAGATTTTAAGTCAGGATGTAATTCCTCGGGCAGGTTGGAGAGTTCTAGATTAGCAAATATTAGCGTACTTTGTTCTTAATCAGGCGTATAAAATATACAATTGGACTTATAGCAAACCAGATTCATTCTATTAAATTTTCAATAGCATAATTAAGACCAGCAGTCGTAGAGCTGACTGTGATTTATTCGTAATCAACAATACACTTACACACTTGGATCTGGGTTTTATGTTCCGCAACTAGTCGTAACTTCTTTTACTTTCATTTACAGTCAATACTAAATATGGTTATTTAGTTATTCCATCATCGACCATGTTATAAAATGCAATATTAATGAAGCAATAGAAATAGCTACAGCAACTGGAATTTCATACACAACGAAATGTCAAATCCTTTTGTCATTATAATTTTTAATGTTTAGAACTTCGTATGTAAATATTAATTTAAAATATGTGACACATTAGTAATAGATCTTGTAGTAATCAAGTCTATACATATAACAAAAACAGATATCCGTGACTCTATATGGGTATATGACAAAAGTATTAGATGACTTTATCGACGCAATAGAACTCAAAACAATGCATCATCATCACAAGCTGCATCGCATTGCATCAACTACCCGCATTCTTATTTCTTTTTCACTTAGCGTTCATTGCGATTTCTTTTTCTTGCTAGGTCTGTAGGGGTCGTAGCGATAATTAATTTACAGGCAAGTTCTTCAATAATGAAGGTACCAGATATAAACAGATTTTACTAATGTGACTAGATAGTTCTATAAATTAGAGTGGTCCAACAAATAACCAGTATTTACTTTTTTGTAATTTGTTTTAACAATTTTCAATAATTACTATTACACGACATTTAGTACTTCTCTTTCAGTAATTATAAGCTAATTTTATAAAAGGAGATCATGCGGAATAAAATGCATAAAAAAAATTATTAAGCAATGTTACGTATTTAAAAAAATCTACAAACACTATTGCCCGCGTTATATTTTCAATTGACACTCTAAGTGCTGCAGGTATCCCTACATAATGATTGCCAAAAATAAAACGAAGATATAATTCTAAAAGTCCGTGATAATTTCAATTAGATGTGAGATTCACAGATTTTCTCGAACCATCTAAACTAAACAATAGCAATTTGTATCCGGGACACCGTTGAATGGAGCACAGTGGGTAATAGATTTTAAATAACTGCGCATACGTTGTTCTAACTTATTCTGTCAATTATCGACTCGTTAGTCTCTGATAGATCCAAGAGAGTGCCGTAACTTGGTTAAGTAATGTGTGAGGTCAATGGATTGCGCTGCTGATATATTAAACTATTAAGCCTTGGTACTTGGTAAGTGCTTCGCAAAAGTGCTACAAATTTGCGGCAGAGATACAAAAGGATTTATTTAATCTATATATACTTGAAGGGTTTGCACTGTCATTAATGACATTAATTGATTTTTAGTTTTATCTAGGCAGACTTTTCAAAAAGTCGTATGCGTGGGTACCGCTGGCTTCAGCCGTCAAGCGACTTACTCTGTAAGCATTTCGGTTGAAGAGTGAGATAATACAGTAAAATTATATGATGCAATACATGTATAGGTTCATTTAAAATTTCATTCACTCATTTTAAATTTCTATTCATAAATTCAAATTTCTAGTCCTTTTTTATGGTGTGGAATAATAATTCGAAAGACCCTCCCTCATCAGAGAGATGACGAGGGGGTGTGTGGGATTCTTAGACAAAAAAACCACCACCGTGTGGTGCCAAGCGCCATTGCCCGGAGTCGCAAGGTCGCGTAAACATTCTACAGCGACTACGGCGGCAAATTCCCAGTCCTAGCGATTACTAATACATATATTGAGATATCAGTCAATCAGTGAATTAGTCTAAGACCCTTTTATACTAGTAGATTGGTATTTAACAATAAAGAGTAAGTATGTATGATTGATTAACAACGCTTACCTTGTGTTTCAGGAATGATAGGTCCCTAACTGGTACAGTCCTCCTGGTGACCTTGAGTTCGCTCTGCAGAACCTCCATGGTTGTTAACTCTTGGAACCCATGCTGTTCCAACGCTAGGCATGTCCTCTGAACTTGCTCTATGCACGGTGAGAACGAGCAGAACCGACCACCTGCAAGCGAAAATGATTAATTTGTGGCGAGTTTAAAAAATGATAAACAACAAGATTAATCGTTGTACGTCTTCAATAGAGTGTGTAATAGGTTTTTTCTTTGCTAGTCTATATTTTTGCCATTTCGAATAATGAACTTCAATAAAATTAATTTTATCAATTATATTAGGTAATTATTATATATTCTTCATTGCACTTTAGTGTCTAAACATTGTAAATACTGACGGCCTCGGTAGTCTAGCGGTTAAGTACACCGCTTTACATCCGATGGGGTTCGATTCCTCGCAAAGTAAAAAGATTAAGTATTCATGAGTATGATTGATTATATCGGTCGGATATTTTTTATGTTTGTATGTATGTATGTATATTATTTATATACTTATAAAAAAAATTATCTAAGTATTTATATCAGTTGCCTAATACGCATAACACAATGGCTTGGAAATACATGGTGTTGCGTGAAAAAATAAAAAAAAAACCTATTATAGAAAACGTGAGCAAAGGTGGACTTGTGTTTAAAAGACATTAATTTATTATACAATGCTATACTGAGAGCTAAGCATTGGGTGGTTTAATACAAGATTGAAGAGATTGATTGAACGAGAATAAGTAGGGAAGTTGGCAGGTAGAAAATAACCGTAGATACTATAGACAAAAGAACAGTGATCACAGATATGCCGATTTTAATTAACAATTGATAAAAGTAGAAGTTATCAACAAGATATTTGCAATCTTTTATTAACCAAATCATGTAACATCTATATAGTTAATATACTTGAAATGACAATCTTCCTATTGACATCTTTTGTAAAATAGATTTTATATGAATCTCATATTCCCATCACAACCGGACGCCACCCTGCAACGTCCTAAAGCGACAGGGAGGATCGACCTCAGTCACAAACAAATAAAACGACCGGTTACTTCATAATGCGCGTGCGCATTAAAAAAGATCTAGACATAACAAAATGTCGACAGATGTTTTCATTCCCATGTGATAGATACAAGATGGCCGGCCGTTTAGATAGTTCCTTTTTGTTATCGAGATACCGTTTTGAAATTTTTACAAGTTGAAAACGCTACGGGAACGACACAGTCTTTTATGTGGGCCGCATTGCTCTTATCAGTCAAATCTTATCGACCAATAAGGACGGCGGACGTCGCTCACTCCAACTGTCTAGTCAGATGCGCGAGCGCATCTCCGCGGGGGGCGAATTTGAAATTGTTCCATTTTTAAATGTATCGCATGTCTAGATGATGTAAAGCATGTGGAAGAGCATTAGCATAATACTGGTTGGGTTCAAGTAATGAAGCTATTATACCACTCGCCATACGTGGCTTTAATGGCGCATATGAACCAATGCTGCATAGGCGAGCAATCCGCTTATCATTCACGCCTCATCTACGCAGAAGTGTAAATAGTACATTGATTACTTTAATGGATGAATAAAATTTTAATAAGGAACTCTGGACAACAGCACCCTTAGTATTAAACTAAGCAGGGCTTTTAATATCGGTATTATATTGATATACTTGAATTCGTCCGTATATTTATTTATATAATAATACACCCAGACAACAAAGTTATAATTTGTATTGTATAGAAATCAAATCCGCGAACATTGGAAATAATTCGTTAGGGAATACCGGTAGAAGTAGCAATAAAGTAATAATGAAAGTATCAATTTTGGTTCTTCTAGTTTTGTGCGGTTGAAAAAAATATATAGAATATAGATTATATCGAACAACAAGAATTTGAGAGTATTGAGATATTTGTTAAGTTTTAAAATTTCTCAAGTTAATATAATTTTATTCATAACTGTATCGTAATATTTTTAGAATATAATTGACACCACAAAAGATATGACTGATTTTAAACGAATTTTAGATTGATTTGTATATTTTTGAATTTGTAATTATGGATGAAACCCTGGAGCTGAAGGTAGTATATACTGCGGTGGCATAACCGAGTATAGGTGGCGAAATATGGATACGCTATCTTAATGTATCGATAGTCAGGTCGTGGGACTGGCGAGTGTACAGTCAGGATCATGTACATATATGTATTCATATACATATAAGTTAGTGGACAAAAATATATCAGGGCACGAATTTAGTATCCTATATTTTTTTGTAACCGTAAAAGTGGCTAATGTTATTTTTATAAAGAAATAATAGGTTCTTTAGTGAGATAGGCTAAGGAAATAAATTCCTAAAATTTTCATTGGGATAAAATGTTTTTTCATAGTTTATACCATTATGTCATATATCTAGTGGTTCGGTTTAAAATAATTATCAATCACCTAAATTAGGTTAGATTATTAGGTACTTTAACGAGCGCACTATTAACGAGCCATTAGATTATTTAAGCCATATTTTAATTAATAATGTTTAAATGTATTATTGTCTATTAAATATACTGCTTTAAATAACTATTTCTTCAGGTATAATTAATAAATTTCGCTCAAATGTATTTTGAACACAATTTTAATGTATCATTATTTAATTTATAATAAATATATAATAAAAGTAACATATGTAAGCTTATCAACACCTGGTACGATATATATGTGTTGTATAATTTTTATTTCCAAGTAAATAGGCGGATCTACATGTTGCCGAGTGTACTGGTGTCGATTAGCCCGACGGGGCTGCGCTTCGTGTTATCTAGCTGGTGTCGCCATGTTTGGATAATGTACTGTGGGATATAATACTTTAATTATTATCAGCTACAAACAGTCTTACGTACATGTATGTAGATCTTTACGTCTTTATGTGTGAAATATCAGACAGAAATGAAGCATCCATATGAAGAATATATTGGATCAGAAAAACAGCTCGAGTCTAGTTAAAATCTGCTATTTTCTTTGATTGTATTTTATTATTTTAATTTCTTTATATAATACTATACTACGTGTGAGTTCCGTATATATTTTAAATTAAAATATACAAAATAGACACATTACTATTATGAGTAATAAATTTGTAAAATAATGCAAAATTAATAAAATAAATTGATTAAAAGTAAATTTTCAAAAAATATTTTAACTTTCAGTTAAAACCAAAACATTTTAAAAAAATAAGAACACACATATTGAATTTATAACCTAATTTTTATACACATTAGTGATAAGAAAACCTACGAGTATATAATTCCAAATCGAGTGGAATCTTAATAAATCGTGGAACCTCTACTGACGCTTCGATTCGAATGTTTAATTAAAGTTAATTAATCACCGACGACGTTGTGATTACATATAAACAGCCGATCTGAAGGTTATATATTTCAAGTAAGTTAAATAATATTTAGACACTTTTTGAATAACAGTGTCTACACCTCCTAATAAATTCTCCAGTAGACTATAATTAAGCAACAAAATGGTCCATTTTAATTTATATAGCTGGCCCGTTTTATCGACGCAGCTATAAAAATATAAAACTCATTGATCATGATTTGTCTAATTTACACTGGCGTGCCGAATGACTGAATACATTAAAATAAATATACGGCATAATTAGTGATCGATTTTATAATTAGCATGTAAAATTATAGGTTTGTACAGTGCGTAATGCGTATGAACTGTTTAATATAATACAATTTGTTATAAAAATTCTTATTTTTGTACATAAGTAAATAAAGCCTTTGCTTAGGACATCATACTGTGGCATCGTACATAAAAAATCTCATTAAATTACATATACTCGGATATGAAATATTTCATTTTATTTAAAAAAGGTATATAAAAATTTCATGGTAAAATATAAAGATTGTCATTATATATTTAATTAAAAGTTTAAAGTATTAATCACTGTTAAAAAGATGACCAAATAGCAAATTTCTTTAATATAATGTGAATAATTTGATATATTTACAATGTTATACAAATATATACTGTTTTAAGACTTCAGATCTAGAAGTAAATTATGATATTTCTAATACAATTTCCAATCATTGAAATTATTTACATTAATAAGATCTTATTATTCAACGACCAATAACTCTTAGATAATTTAAATGTCCACTGTACCTATTAATTTACTTGCTCCCAGGTGTTGGATATTGCAATTTTCAATTCGAAAATTGGTTTATTTAAATAATTGAACCTATGACAAAGTTCTGTATCCATCAGAAATGAGGGCGATTTCCGGAGGTAGGTACATTTTATGCCTACACCGCGCCGCAAATTATACCTTTTTTTTAGTTTTGTACTAATTATAAAATAATTTAAGTAGTACGACTCATGCATTCTCTGCACAGACGACAAAAAAACATATTTCGTCTGTGCGATAATGTATGAGGAGTATTACTTATATTAAATATATGTTTATTTATTTAGACGTTATTTTATTTACATTTATTTTATAAAAATAAAAAAGTTATGCAGAGTTGATGTTTGTAATGAATTAATATTTATTGATATCACTATTATCTAGTGAGGGTCACAGGATGTAATTGTTTCTAGGATGGCCATGTAGATGGCTATGGTTTAAAGTCCGCTTAGGTACCTACATTGTTAGCAATAGGCCACTAATCCCCATTACTAAAACAATCCTCTCTCCTAGGCAGGTCGAGTTACCTAATTTGCTAACAAATACACATTTGAAGCGTTAATTAAACAGCTGTTACAGTTAATGTCAAGTTTATGTATTGTGCCAGGGTAGAACAATAGCGTTAGTCATCCTCGGTTCGGTTGCGACACGGCGCGGGTCAGGGGACAGGAATGCTGCCTAATTGACAGATTAGTGACGACGGGGTTGAATTATACGAATCGACGGTGTGAGCTTGGCGAGGCATTAATTAATTGCTGCACGGTTTTGTTGACACGCATTGTAATTGAAATCGATTGGCAAACGTTTGCCAAACTTCAGCTACCTTTGTTTACGTACTATGTAAGATGCATTCAAGATTTTTAACCGACTATGGAAATCATTAATGTGTAATGTTTCTCGGGAATATTCGGTACTTTAGGATGATTTCTAATTTATTAATACTCGGTAGT